GTTCATTCAAAGATCCTCACTGAACTTCTGGACTGAGTTTGCTGCACTGAAAGTAAAGGGGCCGAATAATATTGCACGCCCCACTTTTCAGTTTTTTATTTGTTAAAAAAGTTTAAATTATCCAATACATTTCGTTCCACTTCACGATTGTGTCCCACTTGTTGTTGATTCATGATTAAAATTTTATATCTTTATATTTGAAGCCTGAAATGTGGCGAAATGTTGAAAGGTTCAAGGGGGCCGAATACTTTCGCAAGGCACTGTATGTACGTACCTAAAAAAAAGTATGAAACAACTGAAAATATGTTCAAAGTAGCACCTTTTGCTCCGATTACCGCTTCACACTCTTGGCATTCTCTTGATGAGCTTCAAGAGGCCCTGAAATGGTCTTCAACAGTCTAGATGGAGTTCCCATGATGCTTAGCACTTGTTGGCCCCTTCACTCTGTGGTCCAGCCCCATAACCATCTGGATTATGTTCAGGTCCAAAACCATCTGGATCGGGTTCAGGTCCAAAACCATCTGGACTGGGTTCAGGTCCGGTGACTGGAGGTCATGTGGCCCAGCACCACCACTCACCTTATTGGTCAAACAGCCCTTACACAGCCTGGTGTGGGTCTACAGTCAATAGCCATGAAAAGACACTCAGTGAAGGAGAAAGTGTGTTCTCTCGGTTCTGTGCAGTGGACGAGCTCCCATGATGCTTTGCGGCAAATACGCGTTCACAGAGGGGCTCGGCCGCGTTCTGACCAATCAGAGTTGCTGATCAGAGCTGCTGATCAGAGCAGTGGTAGCGGAGTCAGAGCGAGAAGAAATCGAGCAGAATTTCTGACAGTAAAGTGTGGTTTTAAAAAAGGCCGAAGGATTTAAGAAGAAAAAAAGTTCAGGATGACAAGGGACACAAAAATCCCCACAAAATCCGATCTTTGTGAAAGTTGAAGGTTCTCTGTCAGGTTCTTTGTCAGCTGAGGTCGAGCTGTTTTAGTTTACATGGAGTTCTATGGGACTTTTTTCTGGGTAGCCCACGTGAATTCAGTCTGCAGTTCCACGGGCACCGCCTGTGCCCATGGGTGGGACAGCTATACGCTAGTAATACTCTATCCAGTTATTATTATAGATCCATGACAAAGACACCTCGCTCAATCTCGTCTGAATCAAGCCCACCCACCACTTCAGCCCTTTGTTTTTTTGCCGTTGGATTTGGAAAAGTCACACCCCTTTACAGAAGATGTTAGACTTTGTTCATTTTTTTACTAAATACTTATTTTTAACCAAATATGATGTCGCCCGGTATGGCACTCCCTGGAGCCATGCCTGGAGTTGGGGCTCGTATGAGAACGTCTGGTGGCGGGCCTTAGCCCTCGGGTCCTACCCATCCACACAGAGGGATCCATGGGGGGCTGGTGCGGAGAGGACTGGGCGGCAGTCAAAGGCGGAGACCTCGGGGGCTTTGTCCGCACACACAAAATCTGGCTGAAGCGGAAGAAAATGGATGGATTTTCTAGATTTTCTTTTCTATTCTGACTTTCATAGTTGAGGTGTAGGTATGATGACAATTAAAGGCATTGCTCATCTTTTAAGTATAAGGACTTGCACAATTGGTGCTGACTAAAAACTATTTTGGCCCCACAGAATGAACCACTGGAGATCTTCTAGTTTGATTTGTTTGAAATCCTCTTGACATGAATGTGAAGTTCACCTCAACACAATGGTTTTAAAAGAATCTTTTCTAAAAAATTAAAGGTCTTACATTTTTTCCAATTAAAATATGTTGGAAATATATTATCTTCAAATGATTGTATCCTGTTTTATTGATTTTTAAAAGATTTACAGGAAAAATAAGCTTGCAAACTACATATAAATAGGACAGTGGTTCTCAAACTTTTTACACCAAGTACCCCCTCAGAAAATACTTGCCTCTCCAAGTACCACCACAAATGACCAACACCACACAGTAGCGTAATAAGTATTCATCAAAAACAAGGCAGAGGTTTCATTCCTAAAGAAGCTTTTGTACATGCTGCTCCTTCTAATGGTACGTGTTGCAAAAAGACTGGAAATGATCTGACTGTATTTCATTGAATTCTTTCAGATCCAGATTGAGAGCACTTGAGACATCTTCAGTGAAATGTAACTGTTTTTATAATCAGTAATTTTATGAAATTGTATGAGACTGTTTTATAATCTGTATGTAACTGTTTTTTTTATTTTATTTTTTTTAAACCTCTTGAAAAAGAGGTTCTCGTCGACTGCCAGCCATTTTTGATGACTTTTCAAGACTCACAGAATATTGTGTGCTATGACTATGAAAAATATGAAACCAGAGTCTGAGAGACTGGACTGTCTACTTTCAGCAGCAAAAAGAAGTTTGTTTTGTTGTCCTGTAATCTCCAGTCAAAAAGAGGGGAGTGCGACAAAAAGCACCAGTCTAGTAGGGTGTATTCAGACCTGAAAAGTCCTTTGCTCCGCTTGCTTGATCCGAATCAAAAGCGGACCAAACTTTTTTCTTTTGCTCTGGTTCGTATTCAGTATTTTGCAAGTTAACTTTTTTATATAAACATATTGACACGTGTGACGATCGGCGCTCCTATTGGACAGCGAGAGCTCACGGAGGATAGACGCGGAACCGGCAGAAAACATTGAGGGCCCGTATGTGCAGCATGTCTGCTCTGCCTATGTTTGCTCTTTTTAGAGCAAAACTACCTTCAACATCAACAGCAGCAGCTCATATGACACAGGCCAAACACACTGTTTTAAATATTGGAACAGCGTCGGAGAATGCGTGAGGAGAAAGCCGAAGGAGACTGTCTGAGCGCTCCGTGCCCTGTCCCACACATGGATCCATTATAATAACGGCCCTGTTCAGCATTGTGGATAAACCATGGATCTATAATAACCACGGGACAAACAGACGCTGAGGATCAGGTAGGAACCAAAGAACACAATTCACTACATGATGCAGAATATTGCTCTTTGAGACGTGAGGATTTTAATAATGCAAATGGTTTGAAGATGCTTCCATTAACATCAATGTACAGTATACTGTGAACAGTTTTAACTCCATAAGCCTGTTGCACAGCGTCTCCTCACTGCTCCAGGTCTGCACACGGCTCAGTGTTGTTGTGTAGCGTTAGCAGCATAGTTAGCAGCATAGTTAGCAGCATAGTTAGCAGCTGTGTGGCTAATTCCTCAGTTTCTGTCTGCGGCTTGTTAAGCCCAAAAAATGCACATTTATCTTGGAGTTGTGTCGGATCGACACCGGATGTATTCAGACCTGATTCGACTTGGACCAGAATTCGTTTGGAACCGGACCGAGACCACCTAAAAAAGTGGGTCTCGGTTCGGTTCGTTGGTCCGGACCAGGATTTGTTTGTGTGTATACAGACCTGCATAAAAGCTTCGGATCAGAGTTCCAAACGAATCCTGGTCCTTTTAAAGTGGAGCAAATGTGCAGGTCTGAATACACCCTTAGACAAAAAGCTGAGAAAATGAGGTGTTTGTGAAAACAGACGAATCTGCAGGAAAGGGACTGTAACATACATGTTAGAAAACAACAACAAGTTATGAGAGAATGTTTTTAATGCAAAATAATATGTTTTATGGCACACACATCCACAAAGTGTTTCTCGAATAATTCAAAATGTACTCATCCAAAAAACTTCAACATTTACATATTGAAAGTAGAACCCATGACAAACTATGCCAGAAAGAATGGCCAGTATTCATCCATTAGGTGGTGCTATATTAATGTCAATAAGAGTAAATCAGAGATAAGCAAAATTACAATGATAAACACTATAAATGACAATAAATCAAAGTGAATAGACAATATACTTATACTATAAGTGCATTAGAATACTGTTGTGTGTCTTTGTGTGTTTGTGCGTTAATGCGCATGTTTGTGTGTGTTTGTGTGGTTACATCTACAGAATGTCATTCTGTTTAGTCCAGCAAGCGCTGTGACCATAACTGGACTTTGCCGCTGGCTCCTGGTGTGGACTCAGTGATAGTTTAAGCAATAGTCCACTTTTCTGTGGCTTTTTTGGGGTGCACCGCTGGTCTGCTGCCCTGACCCTGAACATGGTCTGTGTCAGCTCTGGAGACACAATTACTGCTAAAACTGCCTCCAAATGTAGCCTGACCCTGACTATATTACTCCATGCCTGCTTCACCTCTGTCTCTCCTGCTCGGAGTGCTCAGACAGGTATCTTTGACCAAGTCACCCACAGAGATCTGCTGCCACCTGCTGGCTTAATAAAATACTGTCTAAAGCCAAACCCCAGACATATATGATACACAGACACAGACGGAGAGGAAAAGATTGAAAAACAATGTTGACAATGGTACTTTCCTGGTTAAATTAACACACACAAAAATAACACAAAAAAGAAATATATATATATATATATGTATATTTTTTAATTATTATTATTTTTATTTTTTATTTTTCAGTGATTCTTTGGCATACCCCTAGAGGGAGCCCCGCGTACCCCTATGGGGTACACGTACCCCAGTTTGAGAACCACTGAAATAGGAGGTCGCTACTTTATTGGAATGATGATCAAATCTGTATGTATGAAAATTCTACATAAATCTATACAGTTTGTTTCTAGACACATTATATAACCAAGAACTTGTGCAAAAAATGTATGTTATGCTGAATAAAGGAATATCTTTTAAGGTGATTGACGATCGCACCACATGACATTTGTAAAGGTAACGACTGATTCATTTACGTGAAAAAACTCCAGAATATCTGAATTCATGATTTTAACCTGTTTGTACACATGACATTGTAAAGCTTTGACCAACCGCTGTAAAAATTCATATTATGTCTATTCTGAAATTGGCCTCGTAAAAAACCTCCGTCATTGACCCAGGTGGAGAGGGTCTCATGGTGGGCTTGGACCCACAACCTTCAGGCTCAAAGGCCAATGCTCTACCAACTGAGCCACTGTCACCCCTTTGTCTAAGAAGTGTTAATATATTCTATAGTCTTACCTCTATTCCTTTGGTGACAATGTGTCTTAGTTTCATATCAGTCTTGGCCACTCTTTGGTCCAACAGATCATCCAGAATCTGCTGTAGCTGCCGGTGGTGGTCCTCTGCATTCGGAATCAGCTTTTGAATGTCCGAATTGGCATCAGTTTTAAGTTCAAGCTGAATTTTGTTATCATCTGCAAGATAAAAGACGTGCCTTTGAAATTTTTGTAAAAATTGTAATTAAGTAATAAAGTTTGCCACTATAGTTACCATATCGGAGCGATGCTTTCTGTTGGTACGTCGTCTCTGGTAAGTTTACATTCGTCGCTATGTCTAGAATAGTAATGTCATCTATGTTTAGAGTGGAAGTTATGGAACCATGGGCGTTCAGAGAGGGGAGGGTCATCTGGAGCTGCAACATGGCTACCTCCATCCGTTCAAGTCTGCAATAGGAGTGTTCACATGAATCAAATGAAGTTCAAAGCTGAGTGGATAGCACTCTCGCCTCTCAGCAAGAAGGTCCTGGGTTCGAATCCGGGTTGGACCAGGGCCTTTCTGAGTGGAGTTTGTATGTTCTCCCCGTGTCTGTGTAGGTTTCCTCCGGGTACTCTGGTTTCCCCTACCACTAAAACATGCACAATAGATCTGGCATGCACCTCCTGTACTGGCGCCCCTGCTCCTATCTCTGTGTGGACTGAGAGACAAATGCCCAAAAATAACAATTGTAACCGCTTTGAGACTCTGATCTGCAGTGAAAAGGCGGTATATAAATAAAGATTACTACTACTTACAAACTGTGGAATACAGTAGATCCTGTCCCGATTACAGACAGATAGGTCCTTTTCTACTTTACTCCTTTAGATTAACTTTATCCAATCTACAGTAATAACACAATTAAACCTTGAATACAAAGAAGGAAATCTGAAATATGCAGTAGATGTTTACTATGCTATTCATATTACTAAGAATCTCTCACAACACAAATCTAATATACAGAACATGTACATGACATGTAGCATTAAGTGTTTAGTTTTTAATACTTTCCTTGTGAAAAAAAAGTAGTACTAGTACTAAATATTTTATTTTAGCAATCCATGATCAGATGTGTCCTACTGTATACATAGAAATTAGCGTATTCCAGAAAGATATACATTTTCAGTTTGTATGGACATTTATGGACAGTGCTCATCCCACTCGCTATAGTCCAATAGCTCCTAATTTTTTTGTTGAAAAACTATTGCCCATTAGGATTTCTCCTGTTTTATTACATGTCACTGAGTCCATTGTAAACACTGTGTCTTCTACATTTGATGAGTTTACACTTGTATCCTTTAATGAGTTGTCGAGCATCTTAAACCGTCCATTGTCCACTGGATATTATTCCTGCTCACGCATGTTATTAATGCGTCCCTTTTATCTGGCTGTGTTCCAGGTGTTTTTAAGCAAGCTGTTGTTCAGCCACTTCTTTAGAAGCTCACCTAAGACAACACTGTTCTTGCTAATTACAGGCCTATTTTGAAGCTGCCTTTTTTAGCCAAATTAATGGAAAAATCTGTTCTTAATCAATTACAACTGCACACAACTGCACACTAGACACTGGAGGAGGGTCGGTTTTAGCTGCTGGCCGGATGATATTGCACAAATGGCATCTTTGACACATTTCTATCAGGTTTTAAAGCTCTACATAGCACACATACTGCACTGCTGTGAGTTTTAAATCTGCTTTTGACAGCTGACTCTGGTTCTCCTGCCATTTTAGTTGTTTTAGATTTGACAGCTGCTTTTGACACTGTAGATCACAGCATTCTAATTTGGCGTTTGAAGCACTACGCTGGTTTTAAAGGCACTGCTTTAAACTGGTTCAGGTCCTATCTTGGTGATGGGTGTTTTTTCGTCCACTTCGTCCAACAGTCTGGTCTGGCACCCCTCAATTGTGGTGTTCCACAGGGCTCCATTTTAGGCCCCTCCCTTTTTTCTTTGTAGATGCTGCCACTTGGCAACATCCTAAAGAATGTCTCCTTTCATGCTTAAGTTGATGACTTGCAGATCTAGCTGCCTTTAAAACCCACCTCAATTACAACACTGCTAGATTGTCTCCAGGAAGTATAACATTATATTTTTCATTCTCAACAAGAATAAAACTGAAATAGTTGTTTATAGCTCCAGTCTCCCTGTGGACCTCACTGATGCACTGATGAACTTGGTGTATTCTCTGCTCATGTCCACTCCTCTGTATAACTTGGGAGTTATTTTTGATAGCACCTTCTGGATGGAAAAATAATTTCAGTAATCAAAGCCAGTTTCTATCAGCTGAGCAAAGTGAAGACCTATATCCCACCCACTGACTATGAGCAAGTTATCCACCTTTTTATTTCATATAGGTTAGATTATTGTAACTCGCTGTACTGTGGTCTGGACCTTTTATCACCAATTGAGCTTTACCATTTTACTTTTTACATGTATATATAAATGTTATGCTGTTTTCTTTTCTTTTTTTCATCTTTCGTGCCTGTGAAGCACTTTGGGCTGCTGGTGTTGTTGTAAATGTGCTTTACAAATAAAGCTGACAATGACTGAGTGATATTATTGCATTTCCTACTTTTAAACTAGTTGATTATCTGATCTTTTGATGGCAAACTTTGTAACTTTGTAAAGTCGTCTTTTGTGGTAGTGGTGGATGAGGTTCTATATCCTCGTCGATGGTAAAGCTGACCATTCTTTGTGGTCCTGGGCCGCCTTGTGTGGACTGCATATTTGAGATTGCCCTAGAGCGGCTCAAGCATGTTATAATTTGACAACTGAAAACAAATTTATTTGACAGTACATGGCTTCACGCAACCACTAACGAATAGTTGTTATGACTTGACATTAAGCTTTGTCATTTGTATTTTGCTTGCCCAATTTCAAAAGTTATTTGCCCAAAAAGAGTTTGGCAATGAAGTAGCCCTAACTGTGTGGAAAAAATATAAATAAAAATCCACTCTCAGCCCAAAAAGTCAAAAAATGACTCACAAGGTTCTTAAGACTGCAAATAAAAATGGCCTGTTGTGGTGTGTTTAGTCTGATTTGTTCACAACATTTTATTTCTGTGCACAACTAACATGCACTGTTAAAGCAAGGGTAAATGTAGTTATCCCAACTTTAATTTCGGGAGTTTTGTTTACGATGTGTAATGGGGGAGACAAGGGGGATACAGCACTTGCAACAAGCTTGGGATGGTCCAGACTGCGCGTCTATGGTTCTGTCCGTGCATCTATAGTCCGCCCTTGGCAAGTGATGTATTACTGGCAACTTCTTAAGACAGCGCACTTGTCCGTCCCAAATCTTTAGTTGCCCCTGGCAAGCGTTCACCCAATAATGTCGAGCCCTGGACTTAAACGTACCGTGTGCGTGCTGTAAGCGACAGCTGTGGGACGTTTTTATTGGTCACGTCGATTGTTATTCCTCTCATAGCTGATGTCGCTGGGTCGTTTTTGATCAGAGAAAAATTAATCCCAGCCTCGATGTCGTAGTCAGGTATGTTGAATTCCGTCAGCACTGTGTTTTTGTTGTGGCTGTATTTGAGAGAAGCCATGAGTTCTGCTGCATCGACACCTGGAAAAAACATTAAAATTTATGACCACTGCAGCTTAGAGTACATTGGCCTTATAAACGTACCATACACAGTCGGGGGGAAAAATATTTAGTCAGCCACTTGTTGTGCAAGTCTCCCACTTAAAAAGACGAGAGAGGCATGTAATTTCCGTTATAGGTATACCTCAACTATGAGAGACAGAATGAGAAAAAATCCAGAAAATCACATGTCTGATTTTGAATTTATGGTGGTAAATAAGTATTTGATCAATAACAAACCAGCACGATTTGTGGCTCTCACAGATCTGTAACTCCTCCTTTAAAGCAGAAGTAAGCGATTTTTGGTGTTAATATACGTCTTAAATATTTATATATTCCAATAGCCATCACTTATATAGAGTGTTTGTACCTAAACACGGATCTCTCAGTCCTTCCAGTCTTCTCCCACTCTTTATTTAAGAAAACCTTGTATCCTATAGTTTAATCCAATCAAGAGAGAGAATCGAAAAAGGGGGTTCTACGTCATGGTGCTACGTCCCTTAGCGGACTTCGCTAGTGGGATATCACGTGACCCCCAGGTCACAGACGCCAGAGAGATCAAACAAAAAATGCTCCAATCACATAGCGACCCTCCTCTATAAAGGCCCCTGCTCCATAGCCGCGCCCCCTCTTTCACTCTGGCGCTGATTGAGATCTACCACAGTACTTACTTCATTCTGAGATGTCTTCCATTGTTCGTCCGAGTTCCCCTTCGCCCTCCGGCGTCGGACTTCGTCGCTGCTCTGCGTGTCGGGTCAGGCTCCAGCGCACGGACCAGCATGCCAGCTGCTTCATGTGCCTGGGTCCGGGCCATGCAGCGTTGAGCGCTAGCTGCGCCTCGTGTCTCGCTCTCCCCAGGGAGGAAAGCGAACGCAGGCGCGCGTTCTTCGCCGCTGCAGCGCCCCGTACGGACTCCTCTCAGGACGAAGAGTCTGAGATTGACTGGGCCCCACTCAGTGCCCGCGGAATGGGGTGGTCCGCTGGACCACATGCCTGGTCTCTACTCCTCCGCGGCTGTCATCATGGATGCTCCTCTGCCACCGCAGCCGGTCCAGACGGTGGAGGACTTCACCTCTGTGGGCGCCACCACTCGAGGGAGGAGGAGGAAACAACCCACGTTGTGCCCGCGGATGGACCCGATCGTCCATTACGCGACACGTGAGTGGCCAAAGCCCCTATCAGCCAAGAGGCCTGCTCTGGGGTACGGCATGTACTGCAGCGTGCAGGACTGGTCCTGGACCGGTGGTGTCCCGGACATAGAGGACTCAGTCCGCATGGCCCTGCAGCCCTCCGCATCCGTGTGGCCCGGCGCCAGACCTCTCCTTCCCTCCGAGCGGAACAGGATGTCTTTGGCGATGCTGGACAGATGTTATGCCAATGCGGCTCAGGTCGTTGCATTGGCTAACAATATGGCGTTTATCACGGGGGCCCTGGATAGGTCGCTCTCCTCTGGCCAGGCGCTCAGTGGAGACCTCCTCTCAGAGGCTAGGACCACCTCCGCGGCGATCCTGCGCATGTGCCAGGCGTTGGCCGTGGATGGTGGCCGCTCCATGGCTGCAGCCCAAGTCGGGGCCAGGCACTTTTGGCTTGGGCTGGCTAACATCAGGGAGGCGGAGAAGAGACAGCTGCTGGACCTGCCCATCTCCCAGACGTCCCTCTTCGGCCCGGATATGCAGGCCCTGGTGGAGAGACTGAAGTCTGCAGCTAAAGACTCGGCTAGGCTAGCCCCGCACCTAGCACCGAGGCGCGAGGCCCACCAGCCATCACAGAGCCGGGACAGAGGCAGAGAGCGTTCGCCCAAGAGGCGCCCTGACCCGTATCCTCGCTCCGCCATCCATCGTCCCCCCTCGACGAGGCCCCCGGGTCCGGACAGACCCACGGGAGGCTCGCGGGGACAGCGCACCCACCGCCGGCCTCCCTATGGTAGAGGAGGCCGGGGTGATAAGAATTCTTTCAATAAAGGCCGACCGGCCTTTCATCAGTACTCGTTGTCCGAGTCTCATTTGGGGGTACGTTACATGTCTAATGTGTCTGATTGTGTTACTTCCCGGGCCCATAACGTTGCTCCGCTAGGCCTGCAGCCCCCAGAGCAGGGTGTGCAGTGCGCTTCGCGAGCTACGAGCTCCGGTCCTCCGATCCATTCTATGCCCTCCCAGAGAGAGGTCAGGCGGAGGGATCTGGTGAGTAGTGGTGTGTGTGCTTCGGCCGAACACGTGTTAGCCCCTCTAAGCTACGAGGCTAAGCACGGGGTTTCCCACTCCAGGGGCTCGCCCCCCCTCCATAAGGCAAGAGCCAGGGGGGGGCGGAGCAGTCGAGTCACATGGCATGAGCAGGCCCGTACTTATGACGTCGGGCCTGCAGGACACATGACCGCCCCCGGCGCACACGGAATGACGCAGGGGGCCCCTCTGCCCTTTCGTCCACCCCCCCTCCCTGCTAGGAACACCAGGAGAGGGCGGGGCTGTGACGTCTCGTGTTCCAGTTCCCGTTCCGCCCCTCACAGACTTCTACAGCATCTGGAGGGAGCAGGGCTTACTGTCGGATCTCTGGCTAGAGAAGACCTTGCGCAGGGGCTACGCATTGCAATTCTCCCGAAAGCCACCGCCATTCCGGGGCGTGCGGGCAGCGCGCTCTCAGGTACGGGGATCGCTAGTGGCACTACAGGCGGAGGTCTCCTCTCTGCTAAGTCGAGGCGCGGCGGTAGAGGTGGACCCACAGGACGCCACCAGGGGGCTCTACTCCCCTTACTTCTTAGTGCCAAAGAAGTCAGGAGGGGTGCGTCCCATTCTGGATCTGCGCACTTTGAACGAGTGCATTTCCAAACGGCAGTTTCGGATGCTGTCCACAAAACAGCTCCTCGAGTGTGTCAGGCAGGGAGATTGGATGTCCTCCATAGACCTGACAGACGCTTACTTTCACGTGCCGATAGTTCCGGAACACAGGAAGTTCCTGCGCTTCGCAGTGGGAGAGAGGAGTTACGAGTACTGCCGTCTCCCCTTCGGCTAGGCGCTCGCGCCTCGGACCTTCTCAGGCACTGGAGCCGCTCAGACGCGCGGGGGTAAGGATATTAACCTATATAGACGATTGGTTAATACTGGCCTCATCCAGGGACGTGGCCGTGAGTCACACGCACTGGGTCCTTTCCCACATACAGCGTCTGGGCTTTGTGGTGAACAGGGAGAAGAGCAGGCTGCAACCGGCTCAGCGCATGATCTATCTCGGCCTGCAGCTAGACTCTGTGACGTTCCGTGCTGCTTTGTCCGAGGACAGACGGAGGAAGATCACCCGTCTAGCCAGGGAGGTTCTGGCGGGCCCCAGGGTCCCCGCTCGGCGCCTCAGGTCCCTGCTGGGGATGATGGCGGCGGCTCATGCTGTGGTGCGGCTAGGCCTTCTCCACATGAGGAATTTTCAGAGATGGTTCTCACGCCTCAGGCTTCACCCCTCCCGGGACGGGGGGAGACTGATCTGGGTTCCCCAAATGGCAGCATCGGACATCAGGTTCTGGCTCACTCCGGGTTTATTGCGGGACGGAGTGACTCTGGCCTGCGCCGTGTCTCACGTGGAGGTGTTCACGGACGCGTCACTCGAAGGATGGGGCGGGGTCCTCGGCCAGAGTTCTGTAGGAGGCTGCTGGTCGGACTCAGCCCGTCACATCAACCTGCTGGAGATGGAGGCAGTACACAGGGTACTGCTGCAATTTGCTCCTCAGCTGCAGGGGAGACACGTGATGGTTCGCTCAGACAACACCACAGTGGTCTCCTATCTGAACAGGCAGGGGAGCACCAGGTCCCCCGCTCTCCATCGCATGGCGAAGGTGACGCTGCTGTGGGCGGCGCTTCACCTCCTGTCCCTGAGGGCGCGCCACGTCCCGGGTGCCCGGAACGTGGGGGCCGACAGGATGTCCAGGGGGGGCCCACTCCAGGACGAGTGGGGCCTGGCCCCACGGGTAGCTGCGGAGGTCTGGCGGAGATTCGGTCGTCCAGTGGTCGACCTTTTCGCCAGTGCAGAGAACGCACAGTGCCTGTCCTGGTTCGCCTTAAGGGCAGCGGACGAGCCGCCCTTACAGTAGGGGTAGGGGTGGACGCCCTGGCTCACTACCCCTGGCCAGGGGGCCTGCTGTATGCGTTTCCGCCAGTTAGTCTCCTGCCGGTCCTCCGTGCATTTGTGTTAAGGATGTATATGTATAATGTATTGTCCGATTAACATTTAATGGTGTTGATTGATTGGTATTTGTTTATTGAGAGTGGCTAGCTCAGCTAGCTTCTCTGCACAGACAAGTAATGACAGGCACTGAAAGCTTGTTTGTACTTGCGGAGTAATGTTAGTATTTTACACACCTGAATTACAAACAGAGATTGCGTTGCCAAAGGGCAGGGGTCTATTGGTTTGAGAGTTCTGTTATCAAGAAAAAATGATTGGTATAACGTTTTGAAATTACATTCAAATCAATGGACTGTTCTACTGCTGCTGTGGTGAGCTGTATAATAAATTATAATTAAATATTCTATTATATTCTAATGTTTAAATTAATACATTTGGACCCGAATCTAGTAGTATCCTTTCACTTATATATTTTGTTCGCAGTGTGTTGCTTTTGTACTATTTCATCAGTGATTGTTTTACGGCTTAAGTTGCGCTAATGCTAATGTTAGCAACAGATCGCAAATACAACTAGATGGCTCCGCGTAGTGGAAATGAGAAGGCCCTGAGCGAGTTGGGGGGGCGGTGCTAACCATTCAAACCTTGCAGAAACAGGTATAGCTCCTTTAAGCCGATACATGTCCAGGCCCGTCTGAAGTTTGCTAGAGAGTATTTTGATGATCCAAAAGAGGATTGGGAGAATGTCTTATGATCACATGAAACCAAAATAGGACTTTTTTGGTAAAAACTCAACACGTCACAGTTGTATCCAAAAGAACACCATATCTACTGTGAGGCATGGGGGTAGAACCGTCATGCTTTGGGGCTTTATCTGCAAAGGGACAAGACGCCTGATCCGGATAAAGGAAAGAACGTATGGGTCCATGTACTGTATCATGAGATTTTGAATGAAAACCTCCTTCCATCAGCAAGGGCATTGAAGATGAAACGTGGCTGGGTCTTCCAGCATGACAATGATCCCAAACACACGGCCCGGGCAACGAAGGAGTGACTTTGTAGGAAGGATTGCTCAGCGACAGCCCCAAAACATCACTGCTCTCGAGAATATCTGCATGGAGGAATGGGCCAAAATACCAGCAACAGTGTGTGAAAATCTTGTGAAGACATACAGAAAAGTTTGAGCTCTGTCATTGCCAACAAAGGGTATATAACGAAGAATTGAGATTAGCTTTTGTTATTGACCAAATAATTATTTTCCACCATGATTTGCAAATAAATTCTTTAGAAATCAGGCATTGTGATTCTGCATTTTTTTCACATTCTGTCTCTCATAGTTGTGGTATAGCCATGATGAAAATTACAGGCCTCCCTCATCTTTTTAAGTGGCAGAACTTGCACTATTTGTAGCTGACTACCTTTTTGCCCCACTGTATGCTAAACCATTTTTCTCATACTGTAGAAATATGTCTTTTCTGTTACTATTGAAACAACAAATACAATCTTATGCAACCTTGATGATAAACTTAATAAAGTATTTGATCTTTTAGAGATAAATACATCAGTGCCAACAAAAAATCTAAAATTTTAATGAGGAGATATTATCATATTAAATAACAGCAGCTGTTTTTGAGAAGGAATGAGGTCACCCATTACTTTGATCATCTTTCTGTAATCCTCTAAGTCAGAGGTGTCAATTATGCGACCGGGGTCGCCCAGAGATTTCATGCCGCCCGCGGCTCATTTATGTTTATAAAAATCCGCTCCACTCAGCGATGCCACGTACACTGGCAATGACGCCCTCAGCAAAATGTGGACATTGAATGTCGGGTTCATCAAGAAAAGCACCGGTGAATGAAACTCCGGTGCTTGTTGTGCATCACTGTGCGTCAATCACCGATCCTCGGTGTGTATCAGTGTGCATGCAACAAGTGGCGGTGCTGAAGGAATATCATCTTAAACTACAAGACTCTGCGAAAAGTACTGCGAAAACCTCTGCCCAGAGCGAGAGGTTAGTGATGCCACTGTAAAAGGAAGTTACCTGAGTGCTAACAACATAACATTATCATCGCAGACGGGGCGAGTGAGTCAAAACGTTCATACAGGTTGCAGAAATACAAATGGAGGTGATGATTTTTTTACATTTGACCGTTTTTTACACATATTGCTGCAGTCGTTAAGAATGGATCATGTTATGGAGGTTGTTTTGTTAATTTCAACAGAATGAATCATAGTCAGTTTTATGCTTTCTCTTTGACAATAACATAACCATGGACCTTACCACACTGAAGTAAGATGGTTAAGCTGAGGTGCTGTGTTAAAGCTACCTACTATACCTATGTGGGAAAGTTTTCTCTGATGAGCTTTAATAAAACAAAGCTTAACTCAAGGCTAACACACACATATTAATATAAATATTGTGAAATGCCATTTACAATGTAATATTGTAATACTCTATTTGTATGACAAACTCACTGTTACATTTATATTAATCAACAGGTTTTACAGTTAAAACTAAGTGAGTGTTAAAGGAAGGTGTTTTAAAGAAAGTGTTGTGGTTGTATTTTTGCCCTGCCTCCCTCCTCTCTTTCTGTTTTGCATGGCATGTTGTGACAGGGGGCGTGGCTGGCTCTGCTTCTGTTTGACTAACACCTGGTCCATATCCTCATCAGCTCTGGTTAAGACTCTGGTGCAGAGTCTGCAGACCTCACATCTCTTCCAGATTATTCAATGTCACAAGTCAGTGTACAGCAGCAGTGAGTTTGTGTTCTTTACTAATGTTCTTTTTTTTTTTCATTTTTCATTTATTTATTTATTTAATATGGACATAGCAATTAACATTGGACGAACCAGATGCATTGTTTAAAGCAGTGTTTTTCAACCTTTTTTGAGCCAAGGCACACTTTTTTCACTGAAAAAAACTTGCGGCACACCTCCAGGAGAAAATGTAAAAATGTATACAGTACTAATGTACAAATATATACTGTACATACTCTGTGTGATATATAAAGTATATCTCATCTTATCTTATAATGTATACAGTATACTCTGTAGCCTATATTCACAATATACAGTTATTCTCATTAAAATGCTTAAGTCCAGGCCTTGACATTAAGCTTTATTTAATATTTCTCGATACAATTAACAAGAGTTTGGGAATAAAGTGGCACTAACTGTGTGGAAAAAAACTAAGAAAATCCACTCTCTGCCCAAATAGTCAAATAATAACTCACACAAAGAACATGCATTGTTAGTGCATGGGAAAAATTTAGGTATCCGAGCTTTAAATTCAGGAGTTTTTGATGAGGGACACGGGAGGTCCTGAACACGAGTCCATCATGGTTCTGTCCGGTCCGCATGTCTATGGTTCTGTCCACTCGACTATGGTCTGCGCTCGGTACCCAGTTCAGAAGTGCGTTCGCGAGAGCTGTTGTAACAAAAATTGTACATTTCATAGTTAAACCACTACAACGCGGCCACAGCTGCCCCGGGGCAGAGCGGAGGATGTTAATCCTGTTCAGAAACGGCATAATTCATTTTCAAAAACGTCTCTATCACTTTCACTTCTCACTCGCCACAAAGCTCTTGTCTCGCTCCCTCCCACATTTGTTGGTCGCATCCAATTTTACCTTTCTCGCCACAATGCTGACCTGTTACAGCCAGTGGTCGCATCCAATTTTTCAGTTTCACAGTACTTAGCTATCTGCTGCCATCTACTGATTTGAAAAAGTATTACATGGTTACTCCACAGTTCAAAACAAGTCACCGCTCGTCAACAGCGAATGCAGTTATTTTTAGACAAAGTAGACGAATTTCTCACGGCACACCAGACAATATCATACGGCACACTAGTGTGCCGCGGCACAGTGGTTGAAAAACACTGGTTTAAAGTGTTATAGCACAAGTGCTAATTTTCAACAAAGTTCCTAATTTTGTGTGACCTGTGTTCAGGTCTCCCTTTTTATCTGACCAGCCAGCCAGCTCCCTGTCTACGTTGCCTGCCTTTTGTTTTTGTATTTATTTTTTGTTAGTAAATCCTTTCCTTGAATCGTGCTCAGTCTCTGCTTTGGGGTCCAACACACAATCCTTAACAGAAAGTGTTTTAAATAAATGTGCCTATGTGCACAAAAAGTTGGACTTTGTATTGTTTTTTGGGTATTTTTGCAGATAATGTTCTCGTCCAGCCCAGTTGAGATCCAATTGGGTTGTATTTGTCCCCCAGACCAAAATGTTTGACACCTCTGCTCTAAGTACATCTCAGTTTAGAAATAGATCAAAACCCTGTCCCAATTCACGTGTGTGTGTGTGTGTGTGTGTGTGTGTGTGTGTGTGTGTGTGTGTGTGTGTGTGTGTGTGTGTGTGTGTGTGTGTGTGTGTGTGTGTGTGTGTGTGTGTGTGTGTGCATGATATGGAGCAGTCTTGTACCTATTTATGGCAAAAAAAAAATCATGTGAAATTCTATTTAAAAACGTCTCACTTTAATAAATACTTTCATAAAGTCATATCTGTCAAATTTGTCTGCGGTGAAATCAGACACATTGATGTGTGTGAGGTGGAACATATTTGCTGCGTCGATTTGCAAACTGTCCCCTGGATCCAAGGGTGTCCCATTTCTTAGGGAGAATATCCTGCGAGTGCAATCACCTATGGGCGGGCACTCCCCTGTTGAGGGCACTCAGAATTGGGACGGGGCCCAATTCTATTTTATATAAAACTCGGCAGTTTGTAATAATTCACCTTCAGCTTTGACAGAAAGCTTGAGCGCTGTCACCCTTTCATTTCCTTCTTTGAACATTTCTCGAGACAAGGAAGCAACATACTCAGAGACGTCTCCCATGGACTGGATTTCAACTGCAAACCTACAAAACAAAAATAAAAAGTCACTCTGGTCAAATGGCCATTGGAATGTCAATTTGTTTATCTTGATTTGAAAAATGTACTTAATTCAATTTATGGATAATGCAATAATTTAAGATTATGCAATATGGACACATCCTAACATGTAAGTAATGTCACACCCTCATGATGCTAACATGTACAGTAGTATCACACCCTCATGCTGCCAATGGGACAAGCTGTTTTAGGTCCAAATGGAGTCAACGTTATTCGGCCAAAATTCAAGCATTTTAATTTTTTCTGGTTTTCATTTTTATTTTTTAGGGAATCCAAAAAATACAGGAATTACCTTATAAAATAATACACTTACTTAAAATATCCAGGACAAACACATCAAAATCCAGAAGAATGCAAAACATATATTAAAAATTTGCTCCAGCATACCCCACTCATATTTACTGGTACAGTAGAAATTTCAACCCATTTTAGCTTAATCTTCATAACATCTTTCTCACCTGCTCTCTCCAGTCAGGGGGAAGTACGGGGCCTGGTTAGTGGCTGCAGCGTTGGAATATTTTGAGATGAAGCAGAGTTTGAGTCCTGTGATGAACGGCTGACATTCTGTGGAGTCTGTTCTGTCCTCCATCAAAGACGGAACCATCTTACTTTCACCAGCAGAGATGGATAGCACTTTGTTACTGGGAAGGAATCAGTCACACAGGTTATATAAGAACAATGTACAGTACATACCCAGAACTGTTTTGACTAGATTCCGGCTGTTCCCAGATTTAATATGAGCTATAACAGAGCTGAAGTTAGCTGAATGATTAAAGTTTACCATGCCACCATCCAGATTTGTGCCAAAGACAAAATTTGGTGTCACAATCAGAAACACATGCAAGTATGCACAAGGACTGGATTCAAGAGGACTGAGCTTTTTAACAATGCACAACAGTTGGCTGGATAACACAGTAAACTTGTGTTTATGATCTCAAAGACTACTTCAGTGGCAGAGGACCACATACAATGACACAGAGGACTGCAACTGGCCCTTGTAGCTTATTTATTTATTTATTTGATAGGGACAAGTGTACACAATCAACATGTGAAACACTACAACATTTATAGCCAAGGCTAATTTGCAATGTCCGTCCCTAGGAGGGCTTTTAACACAATTAAAAACACATTTTTCATGATAGTATTTACATTATACAAACGCAGGTGTTCTCACAACTAATTGATGCTCACACAACTGGTTTGTTTAAAAAAAAAAAAAATGCTTCTGTTTGTGTTTAAAACCAGCCCAGTCAGAGGGCTGATTTTGGTCATGCCTGCACTACACTCTTTGGAATGTTGTAATGTCACATAAACATAAAACGTTTTTTTCTACAACGCTGATTAGCTACTGATTATTGTGCCAAAATACGTATGTGTGTATATGTATGTTCCAATGTAGTTCTAACTTGTAATGTCCATCTTTGGTGGACTAGTAACAGAGGGGAGAGAAAGGGTATGATAGGGTACGAGAGTATGGATGATGCGTCTTGATGTTACGTATGAATAGAACGGGGGAAAGTGTGCATGTGTGTGCGTTTGTTTGCGTGCATGTGTGGCGCGTGCAGCATGAAGCCGTCCCAGAGTTTATAGTGGCGCACACAACTAGAGACGGACCGTTAATATAATAGATCCATGAGACGGACCCGCTCCGTCACACCATGCAAATAGGGCTTATAGCGTAAGTAAGAGACCCTCCCTCTCTCCCTTTTCTTTTTTTTAGACGACAGCTTTGACCGGTTAACGCTGTGACTGTCAACCACCGGTTAAACGGTCACAGATTTACATCCCTAGCACTAACTAACCTTTTTCATAACTGAAAATACCAAAAGAAATGTTTTATTTTTCCTGCAGTGCGGAAATTTCAATGTTGCAGCGCACATATAGGAGCACACAGGAGCACAATGTGATTGTACTAATATATATATGTATAAATATATACATAAATTAGTGCAAAATTATATACATATAGGGCAGAAATCCCACCTGAGCCGGAAAAGCTCTGTATTGCCAGAGGGGGCTGGGATGTTGACTTTAATCTGGTTTCGGTCCCAGGTGACTTTGGCGTTGAGGGAGCTCTCGTGGTGAAGAGTAGTGAGCATCTGGAGTCTGGCCTCCACGTATTCCGGAACCTGCACACCCATATTTGTGATGAACTCCACCCCGACTGAGGGCATGAAGGACAGCGACCCCTGCAAAGGGAGGAAATCAGAGTAAACAATAGGATCCAAAGCCCCCTTCTAAAAACAATTAAATTTAGTGTATTTATGTACAATATAGCCCTAAATTACAACAGCAGTCGCCTCAGAGCACTCCACAAAGTTGTTGACTCCTGAACAAGAGATCCTCAACAGAGAATCAAACAGATGAAAAACTGTTAATAAATAGATAGGAGCCATTGGACCATAGGGGGAACAATGACCAAGGTCTATAAATGTTAATACATGTCAATTACAAATCACCACTGTCCTTAGACCCTTAGAAAAAAGGGCTCCATGGGCGGACTGGCTATAGATCCAGGACAGAATACCTATTTGATACCATTTTAAAAGGCTACCTGCACGTATATGCAGTAGAGTCAATAGAACAAAATGCTATTATTAAAAATGTATACTCCCCAAATTGTTTGAGATTTTGTAATAGAAAAAGAATATACTGTATTAGTTTGAAATAATCATAAGGGGCTGTACAAAATCATGTTATGTAGACAAAAATATTCTTCAGTGGTAGATTTTACCCAAAATGCACAGACAATACTTCACGATTCATTCAACAAATGTCCCGCTATCTCTACTTTTGTTCAGCTAATGACATTTATAATCCCATACAAATGCATAGAACCATTGGTCAAATAAGAATCAACAATCAACCAATAATTCTGCAAAACTGATTAAAGTTTGTTTTTTGTGAAATAGATGAATAATGTAAAATGTAGTATCATTGTAGGAAAATGTAGGAAACAGCCAAATAAAATAGGTGAGCAGCACTAAAACTGTACAGTGTGAGCCTGATATTACCATATATGGGGAGTTTGTGAGGCCCCCTTTGGCCCCAGGGGCAACCACACCGGTAAGCGAGAACTTGAGAGGCATCCCAGCGAGTGTGGGCAGAGCGAAGCCAGTCTCCATGAAGATATAGTGAGCAAAAACCTCATTGTCCAGACCGGAAGTCAGCTTGAACAAGGCCTGAATTGAAAAAATGCAGGAGAATTTACATACACGGACAAAATTAAGCACTAATAAATGAATAATACACTGGTCTACAACAGATCTGGTTCTAAAGTGAGGGTTGTTCATTTGGTGGTAAGCAATTTGTTCCAGTATTACATTGACTAGACTTTAAAGTAGCTATGCTTGTGTATAAGTCTCTCCACGGCCTCGCACCAAAGTATATCTGTGAGATGTGCCAGGTGTACAATTACTAGCCTCCTTATGATGGAAAGAGTCAGGACTAAACATGGGAAGGCAGCATTTTCAAATAATGCAGTTAAAATCTGGTACAGTCTTTATGAAAATATGAGACAGACCAAATCCAGGTTAGAAATGGTTGTTTCAATGTACGAACTGAAGGATCTTCATTCTTTTTAATGTACAGTGATTATTTAAGATTTTAATGCCTTGTTTTGTTAAGCACTTGCGTATGAATTGTGCTTTACAAATAATCTTGCCTTGCATTGCATTAACATTAGTTGACATTCATTCAACCCAAGAATTTCACAATCTCTTTTTCGGGGACATCCTAGACCCAGACAGGGGGCGGGAGTGGGGTTAGGGAGGGTGTATACAATACAATACAATACAATTTATTCTTGTATAGCCCTAGGTCACAACAGAAGTCATCTCTGAGGACTTAACAAAACCATTGAAATCACCAACACAGGTCAGAGAATCAACAGTTAAAACACATGAAAAATATAAAGCACACACAGAAGAAAATGTCCATACATGTTGTAGAATGCTAAAGTGTCCTGGGGCTGCACAATGCTAAAGTGTCCTCGGGCTGCACAATTAATCAAATAGAATTGTAGCTGTAGCAATAGAAACCTGTAGCTGTCCTTAATATAGGAAGAACAAGAAAGGAGATTTCTGATGGAATCGGATGCAGCCGAATTCTGGGCCTACTCTGAGGCTGGCCCTGATAATAGATCCATGGGCTGGCCTCACTTGGTGACATTACAAGCCGTGGTTGAGCTTAAGACCCATATTAAAACACAATTTATGACCCATTCTCTCAACTGTAAACATGTTGATTGTAAAGGAAATATGTTTTAATGCATCGGTTTTGTATAGCGCTTTTTTGGACAGTCAAAGACAGTTCACATATCATTATTGGGCTGAGTGCTTCTCAGCAAGAAGGAACAGGGCCTTTCTGAGTTTGCATGTTCTCCCCATGGCCCTCATTTATGAAACTTGCGCAGAAAAGGGTGTATATTTTTGGTTTAGATTCCATATACGCAAGACCCAACGCCGGAGTTATGAACGTGTGAGCGTACGCGCCTGTTAGTAAATGCCGTGGTTAATTCTATTTTCCGGATGAGTTCGAAGAGCCAGAGGAAGTAATAACAGCAAATAACGACAAAAGCTCAACTCCTAACAGTCAAGAAGAGATTGACAACTTTGTTACAGACCAGAAAGCTAAAAACACGATTAGGAAAACCAAGTCGCAGATCGACAATGGCATAAATAAAAAATAGTCATATAATAAAAAATGTATTAACCTCGCTTGCTCAGACCGCTTCCTCAGACTTTGGCCTTTTTGCACAGACCTCGCCACGGCTCGGTCTGTACATCAAGGCCGCGGTCTGATATTTTGCTGTACAGACCTCGTGCTCGTTTAATAAGCCGTTAATATATATATATATACAGTATATATGTATGTATGTTTTTGCCCTAGTGCAGCACTCATACAGTATCTCTCTTGAACTTTAGAAGTGAATGAATGAATGAGTATTAATATCTCCGCCTCAGCGGTGGCTCTCATCATTAACCACTTGAAGCGTCTGAGCGATCTCTGTGAGAGAGAAAGATGAGTTCATTTCATGCGTTCATTTCATGCGTTCATTTCATGCGTGTTTTCATGCGTGTTTTGGCGTGTTGTGATGAAGGTTGAGATGAGCGTACACATTTACACCACCTACTGACTTGGCGTACTGCATATTCTGTGTACGCTCACATCCAGATTGATAAATACCGAAAAGTGTAAATTTTTTACGTACGCCTCATTTACACCCTGATTTGGCCGTACGCAAGTTTCATAAATGAGGGCCCATCCGGTTTCCCTCCCACGAAAAACATGTACAATAGGTCTGTCATGCGCCTCCTGTACTGGTGACCCTGCTCCCATCTCTGTGTGGAGTGAGAAACAAATGCCCACAATTGTAAACCGCTTTGTGACTCTGGTCTGTGAAAGGCGGTATATAAATAAAGATTTCTTATTCTTTCACTCCATACATGGTGGTGATAAACTACTACTGCAGCCACAGCTGGCTTGGGGCACATGGCCCCCTCCGACCACCACCAACCATTTACACACACACCAGACTCGTTCTAGGCAATGTGGGTGAAGTGTCTTGCCTAAGGACACAATAGCAGTTTGGCACTTTAAAGCCACAGCCGCCTCACTGTAGAACCTGGTATCCCCAGAGGTTAAGTTTCTTGCCAAGGACACAACAACAGCAGTCATCAGTGGGAGTTGGTGGAGAAAGTCTTATGGTGGGCTCGAACCCACGACCTTCAGGCTCAAAGGCCAATGCTCTACCAACTGAGCGACTATCTCTGAGTTTGCACTGCACGGGCTTCTCCCACTGTGAGCTGTAGCTTTTATGCTTCACTGCACGCCGCTCTGTCAAATATGAGAAAAATGTGACAAAAATCTGCAATTTCAAGGTAAAAATATATGAAATAGATCAAAGTTACATTGAAATAATACAATAGCACAAATCACTTGATATAGTGACCAAGTATTATTGTTTCTCTTTAATTAATAATAATAATTAAAAAAAATTCATGATCTTAGGTAAGGCCGGGCCTCACCTGTCTCATCTGCCCGCACGTGCTCATGGTTGAGCAGAAGGTATATTTTCTCTGTCCAAATGAGACATCTAATCCTTTTTATAATTTATTTCAAAATGTCTGGATACATTTTTTTTATTAAACCCTGCTTTATAGACAGCCAAATAATTTTTTATTCATTGCCTCCGATCAGGAAGTTGTGGGGGTGGCTCTAACTGCTTCTTGCATTCGAAAACTGTTTCTCCATCTTCACAGTTTAAAAAGGAACAGACCTTCACTTAAAAGAAAAGACATCACACTGTTATCAAATAACTAGGGTTATGTTAAGTAATCTTGTGTTATGTTAAAGTAGTTGACTTACACTTGTAGGAAGCATTTTGAAGAGCACATGGTGGTACATTGAGAGAGTTTCCAAAGCGTCTCGGATTTGGTTGCTTTTCATGTATCCCATTTCTGTTCCGAGAAGCTCAAAGTACGCCACGGCCTCCGGAGCCTCCGACGAACGCAGATCCTCCATCAACTTTTGGAAAACGTCCGATATTCCCTTTACAAGATCATCTGAGACCTGTTAGACAAAGTAGTGAGGTGATTCATTCATTCATTCATTTATTTGTTCTTATATAACATTACAGTCACATAAAGAACAGGAGTAGGATGTAGACCAAGTCTTATTTAAACCCCTACACCAATCTTATGACAGTAAGACAACAAACATAGATGGCTTTGTGTCAAAATACAACAAATACAACTAATACAAATACAATACTATTTCTCACTTCATTTAACATAGGACTTTATCTTTTTTTTTTTACATTTAAACTTAAATTGTAATTTATTTGAACATGTTTTAAATTCATTGTCCACAGAGTTCCATAGTTTCACCCCAGCACATGAGATGGACATTTGTTTGAGTGTTGTTCTTGCAAAAGGCATTTTAAAATCCAGATTCCTTCTGCTGATTTCATCATTTACAGAGAAAAATAATTGAAGACCACGGGGCAATAAATAATGTTGTGCTGTGAACATAATCAATAATGTCTTTAATACAATTAAATCTTTCATTTTTAACAGTCCTTCAAAAACAGTTCAGTTGTGTGTTCTCTTGGAGCAGTTTTGTGTATTATTCGTAAAGTTCTTTTTTGTAGGATGACTAAAGGTTTTAAATTAGTGTTGTAGGAGTTGCCCCAGACTTCAAGGCAATACATATAATACGGGAGGATCAAAGAACAGTATAGAGTTCGCATTGCCTTGTAGTTTAACAGATATCTTACTTTGCTCAATATGGCAAGATTCTTACAGATGTTCTTTTTTGTTGAAGCAACGTGTTGCTTCCATTTTAGGTTTTCATCAATAATGACTCCTAAAAAATGAATTTCGGAGACCCTTTTGATTTTAACACCATTAAAATATAATTCAATATCTTCCACCCTTTTTAATTGGTGAACAACATGAACTTGGTTTTGCTTACATTGGCATTAAACCATTTTTGACCATCTCTTTTTCAATAGTAGCAATTAAAGTACTTATATTCGTCCCAGAAAAAAAGAAATTTGTGTCATCTGCAAATAGAGCAAAATGTAATATTTTAGACACATCACACAGGTCATTAATATACAAAATGAAACATTTTGGCCCCAAAACAGACCCTTGTGGTACACCAAAATTTATCTGCTGACTCTTTGATAAGTGTCCTGCAAAATCTACATACTGCTGACAATTTCCAAGTAACTGGCAACCCACTGCAACACGACACCTCTGATTCCATAAGACTGTAACTTATTGAGAAGAATGTTATGGTCAACAGTATCAAAAGCCTTTTTCAGATCGATAAAGACTCCGATTGTGTAATTTTTGTTATCTAATTCAGTTGTAATGTTCTCTGTTATTTTCATAAGTGCAAGGGCTGTTGACCTATTACTCCATATTGACTGTCATTTAACAGAAAAAATCTTTCAATAAACTTATCAAATCTATCAATAAAGATCTTCTCTAGTATTTTGGAAAATTGGGACAGCAACAATATAGGTCGATAGTTCGTCAGACTGTGCTTGTCACCTGATTTGAAGATGGGGATTATTTTCGCTACCTTCATTTTGTCTGGAAAATCGCCGGTGTTAAAAGAAAGATTAATAATATGTTTTAATGGTTTACAGATGCAATCAATAGATCTTTTCACAACGAACATATCTAAACCATCACTATCGCATGATTTTTTATTTTTCATTTTAGAGATGCAGGCAATAATTTCAGTTTCACTGACTTCATCCAAATATAAGGATTGCAAAACTTTGTTTTCATAATTCCAAATACCTTCATTGTGATCTGTCATTTGAATTGATCTGGCAAGGTTTGGGCCAACATTAACAAAAAAAAGACATACCGTTGCCCTCGGGCAACAAACCAATCTTTTGGCTCTTACACTGGCCCTTTAATGTTTTTTTTTTTTGTTTTTGTTTATAAAATTACTAGACATGTTTCTGTCCAATTAAATCAAGTTCTGAAGTGGGTGGGGGCAATTGTCGGGGGGTGGAGCAGTCCTTTCAGGAAGCAGAGTCACAAGTGACACAGTGCCAGAAAAAGGTAGGATAAATATAACTTTTCTACATGTTTAAATTCGAAAAACTTGATAAAATAAATATATGACTGTGCATGAATATGTTAAGAAGCATATTTGATTGTTAATATATGTTTTTTGTTTCCATTTATATACAAAAACTGCACGTTTAGGTTTGTTGCCTCAAGGCAACATCATGCAGTTGTAGCACTTTTGTTTGGGCAGTGTAATGCTGCTGGTTGGGGATGTGCTTGAATGGATAATCAACACCACACTCAATGTTTTTTGCTGTTCTATCTTCCATTCTGATCTATCTACTATTGCTTGTAGGAAATGGATGCAATAACGTTTTACGGGTCCAAGAATGAAGGAGTTAGGGACATTCCAATCGATAGTCCTGGTCTCAGGTCTCTGTCCTGAAGTCCTCTCACATTAGTCCTGGTCTCAGGTCTCTGTCCTGAAGTCCTCTCACATTAGTCCTGGTCTCAGGTCTCTGTCCTGAAGTCCTCTCACATTAGTCCTGGTCTCAGGTCTCTGTCCTGAAGTCCTCTCACATTAGTCCTGGTCTCAGGTCTCTGTCCTGAAGTCCTCTCACATTAGTCCTGGTCTCAGGTCTCTGTCCTGAAGTCCTCTCACATTAGTCCTGGTCTCAGGTCTCTGTCTTGAAGTCCTCTCACATTAGTCCTGGTCTCAGGTCTCTGTCCTGAAGTCCTCTCACATTAGTCCTGGTCTCAGGTCTCTGTCCTGAAGTCCTCTCACATTAGTCCAGGTCTCAGGTCTCTGTCCTGAAGTCCTCTCACATTAGTCCTGGTCTCAGGTCTCTGTCCTGAAGTCCTCTCACATTAGTCCAGGTCTCAGGTCTCTGTCCTGAAGTCCTCTCACATTAGTCCTGGTCTCAGGTCTCTGTCCTGAAGTCCTCTCACATTAGTCCTGGTCTCAGGTCTCTGTCTTGAAGTCCTCTCACATTAGTCCTGGTCTCAGGTCTCTGTCCTGAAGTCCTCTCACATTAGTCCTGGTCTCAGGTCTCTGTCCTGAAGTCCTCTCACATTAGTCCAGGTCTCAGGTCTCTGTCCTGAAGTCCTCTCACATTAGTCCTGGTCTCAGGTCTCTGTCCTGAAGTCCTCTCACATTAGTCCTGGTCTCAGGTCTCTGTCCTGAAGTCCTCTCACATTAGTCCTGGTCTCAGGTGTCTGTCCTGAAGTCCTCTCACATTAGTCCTGGTCTCAGGTCTCTGTCCTGAAGTCCTCTCACATTAGTCCAGGTCTCAGGTCTCTGTCCTGAAGTCCTCTCACATTAGTCCTGGTCTCAGGTCTCTGTCCTGAAGTCCTCTCACATTAGTCCTGGTCTCAGGTCTCTGTCCTGAAGTCCTCTCACATTAGTCCTGGTCTCAGGTCTCTGTCCTGAAGTCCTCTCACATTAGTCCTGGTTTCAAGTCTCTGTTCTGAAGTCCTCTCACATTAGTCCTGGTCTCAGGTCTCTGTCCTGAAGTCCTCTCACATTAGTCCTGGTCTCAGGTCTCTGTCCTGAAGTCCTCTCACATTAGTCCTGGTCTCAAGTCTCTGTCCTGAAGTCCTCTCACATTAGTCCTGGTCTCAGGTCTCTGTCCTGAAGTCCTCTCACATTAGTCCTGGTCTCAGGTCTCTGTCCTGAAGTCCTCTCACATTAGTCCTGGTCTCAGGTCTCTGTCCTGAAGTCCTCTCACATTAGTCCAGGTCTCAGGTCTCTGTCCTGAAGTCCTCTCACATTAGTCCTGGTCTCAGGTCTCTGTCCTGAAGTCCTCTCACATTAGTCCTGGTCTCAGGTCTCTGTCCTGAAGTCCTCTCACATTAGTCCTGGTCTCAGGTCTCTGTCCTGAAGTCCTCTCACATTAGTCCTGGTCTCAGGTCTCTGTCCTGAAGTCCTCTCACATTAGTCCTGGTCTCGGGTCTCTGTCCTGAAGTCCTCTCACATTAGTCCTGGTCTCAGGTCTCTGTCCTGAAGTCCTCTCACATTAGTCCTGGTCTCAGGTCTCTGTCCTGAAGTCCTCTCACATTAGTCCTGGTCTCAGGTCTCTGTCCTGAAGTCCTCTCACATTAGTCCTGGTCTCAGGTCTCTGTCCTGAAGTCCTCTCACATTAGTCCTGGTCTCAGGTCTCTGTCCTGAAGTCCTCTCACATTAGTCCTGGTCTCAGGTCTCTGTCCTGAAGTCCTCTCACATTAGTCCTGGTCTCAGGTCTCTGTCCTGAAGTCCTCTCACATTAGTCCTGGTCTCAGGTCTCTGTCCTGAAGTCCTCTCACATTAGTCCTGGTCTCAGGTCTCTGTCCTGAAGTCCTCTCACATTAGTCCTGGTCTCAGGTCTCTGTCCTGAAGTCCTCTCACATTAGTCCTGGTCTCAGGTCTCTGTCTTGGCTGTGAAACATCTATGTTTCACAGCCACTAGCAACTGCTTCTTGCTGTTCCATACACAATAGGCTACCGAGACCCGCAGCTGTGTGACTTACTAGAGGCTCAGAACTGTTTTTGCTTTTGTTTTTGCAATCTGGAGTGCTCTGTACCCGTTTAAAAAAGTTGAGCTTGAAAAATAAAAGAATAAAAGCTTCTCTAATGTATTTGTTTTATTATTTTCCTAATTCAATGTAATATTGAAAACCTTGGTGTTTTAGTACCCTCGTCGCACAATGTTGCCCTTAAGCAACAAACCATTATCTGATTGGGGGGGTGGGGGGGGGGGGTCAAATGTAAAGATCAATGTTATTTAGGGACCCACGAGCTCTTAAAAAGTGTGTTGAAATATTTTTTTCCCCCTAAAATAAAAAGTCATGCCATAGAGGGTTAAATGCATCTGCCATTTCTGCAGGATCTATCTGACTGCCCTGTTCATTAACCAAGAAGGATGGGTGACTGTGAATAACTTTATTGCCAATAACTTGGTGTAGAACCTTCCACATTTCTTTGACATTACTTTTATTGTCTGATAACATATTTGAATAATAATCTTTTCTTGCATTATGCTTGATGGACGACCTACTTTA